GCGATTGGCTTCATGGGGAACTTCCTGAGGATAACTGACTCGCATACATGTTACAAATGGAAAAGTCATAAAAGCAAATCACGCAGTCAGCTAGTTCGCCTGAGATCGAACCCAAAGCGGGTCGAACTACCAGCACTCAGCTGTCTTAATCAGTTCGTCACTCTCTGGTGGGTCACCTTTTTCCTAATGGATTAGATTTTATATTTCCAATTTAAATAGCATTTTCCATTGCTCCAAAAACTTTTTTTATTATTAGTTTCATAATTTGTTTCAATTCTCATTACCGATATTTACTACTACGAACCCTATTATGCATTATGTCTATTTCCAAAACCCTTTTCTCAAAATTTTGTATTTTTAACTTCATATTTAAGGGCTGTCTGTTTGAAATATTTATTGTTATACATTTATTTTTCTGCGTAACAAGAGCTCCTTTCTTAGATACATCTATTTTCTTTCAGTTGTATAAGCTAAAAACATAACCAAGACAGCTAAATTTGCTTGTCGACATCTGTGACGGTTTTCAAAGAATCGGTAATCCACTTCAGCTAGAATCTGTGATTTATTACAATGCAAAAAGCTGTTACATGTCCCTTGAGCTTAAGAAAATACACAGATTTATAACGTGATATAAATTCTGTCGAAAGATGTTGGGTATATCAAGTATATATCGCGTATCAATCATAAAGTGTTGTCTTATCTTTCGGTCTGCAAGGAATTCACACATTTTATTTCAAAAAGAGATAAAATAGGGAATGTTAGTTTTCATTCTAGAGTTAATATACAGGAAGTATGACATATTGATGGATTGTAAAATTTAGGTTTTTTGACCCGAGGATGTTTTGAAATCTGAAGATAAGTTTAAATTTTATCACTGCCATGTTTATCTTACAACAGACCTTCGAACTATCACTCTTAAAAATTATAAATTCTTCTAGCCAGCTCGTCTGTGCTTTATAAAGTTTATCGGGTATTTTCTCCCCTCTTTCTGCATGCCTTCGTGATGTAACGGTAGCACACTCGGCGCGTATTTCGAGAGGTCCAGGTTCGAGTCCACGCGAGGATATTGCTCATTTCTCACGTCTCCAGCTTCAGAACAACGTAATAACTCTACAGTGGCGCCCAAACTAAAAGGTGGTGAACACTGGAGAACTTCTCACTCTATATGTTGATTGTGCTTTGTAGATGAAATAAATCTTTCTGTAGTCTATACCCATAATTACAGCATCTATTAATATTTTCACGAATTTTATATTTATTTAGCTATTTTTAGTAGAATTTGTAATTGAAATAGTTTGCTATCCCCGTGCAATGCAGCACGAGACTTATTTGAAGAGAAAGCTAAGCCGAAAAAATTAAAATACAGGAGCACATCTATTTAATAAATAGATATATCGTAACTGCTTTTGCTATCCAGAAAAATCGAGAAAATACGAAAACATTTTCTTGCATGATGTAAAAAGCTTATAAAAGCTGGATGAAGACATCTCCATTGAGTTGTTTTACGAGTTGCTTACTAAGTGCCGTTATTGATTGTAGCGAATTCGCGGTGACGTCGGATTATCTTTCTCTACTTTGAATTGTGTTCTATAAAAAGCTTTAGTAATTTAAAATATGGCTACTGTAATATACTGCGATATTGTACAAATATCTCTGAAGAAATTTCAGCATTTTGTTTTATTTGTTGTGATAAGAATAAATTTTATTTACTTTTCATCGGATTTGAGTATTCAATTTATTACGAACCCGTACAAACGGAACAATATTTATAAATTTCCTCGCTTTATTTTTTAAGCCGAAATTAACTTCAGCCATATTTCTTTTCAAGTGTTGCCATGGTTACAAAGAAATGACGACACTGAAATGCAGTTATCGACAGGATAATGATACAAAGCATTTACTAAAGTTGATTCAAACAAAAAAGGATGGGTATTCTGCCATATATTTTCCGTTAGTCACAGAAGACTAATTCCATTTGAGAACTTACGACGTGAACTAAAAGACCATCACCCATCGAATTTGAAGGAACTTTGAAAATTATGCAAGTTACATGGTATTTATTCTACACCTAATGTCAAAAATTAGTGGACTGAATATCAAAAAGAATTAGAGTAGTTATTAGAATAATGCTGAATTACAAAAATAAGGTGTTGTAGCTAAATGATACTGTTGTGTGCATAAGAGCTCGTAATAGATCGAATGCACAAGTTCGATAATAGATTATAAAAATTTATTTTTATAAAAAGAAATATTTCAGAACTCTAGAATTTCCCGCAGATATATTCGTACAAGTGTTCAAAATATCACGCAGTATAATCAGTAGTTATACTTCAAACTACCATAAACGTTAAATACAACTTAAGCGCATCTTAAGGGAAAGATAACTCAGGTATCTCAGTTCAAGAACTAAACAACGACAACAATAATTAACCCTTTATTGCACCATGCCCACTCTAGTAGACAAAAGTTTAAATTTGTTTATTCTTCTGTAAATGCCTTAACAAATTCCATTTCTGTGTTTATTCATTCTATATTATTAGAACTTTCAATTGTCGATCATAACTGGCTGTATAGCATCACTAAATAAAGCACTGCTATTTAGAAAATGGATGCTACTTCTTTTTCCAATTTAATGCAATTTCTCATAGTAAATATTTTATAATATTGCTTACATTTTCTTATACTGCCATTTTTTATTCATAATTAGTCATTTTAGACATTTTACTTTAAATGTCAGTTTGAGAAAACTGTGGAGTGGGTAGATAAAGATCTACCGAAAAGAGTGAACTGAAACCCAAATGGACTGCTTATCGAGCCAAAACATCACTGGAAATGTTTATGTTTGGCAAGGAATTTCTTGAACATTTGACATTTGAATCCAATAGGTAGAGGTTACAAAATAGTAGCAAAATGAATTCAATCGCAATCGACGAAATGAATGTATTTTGGGGGATCTGTAAGTACATGCCACTTGTAGATTTACCATTTAGAAGGTGGTAATGATCACTGCAAACAAGGCAGGAAAGGATTTCGAATGGAATGACCGTAAATTGTTGGGAAGAGATTTGTATGCATGCACGTATATGCGTGCTGTCCACTGTAGTGTACAAACTGTAGTCCTTATTTAAAACGAAATTTGAATAAAATTAATTTTTTTTATTATTACTAAGGTTATTTTAAGTAGAAAAATACAAACATTTTCGTTTAACTTCTCTAGAATATTTGTATGCAACAAAGGGTTAAACAACTGCGCTGAAATGCTCTCTCTCTGGCTTTTTATAGTTTTCAACTTTCTGCTTCTGGAAAGCAATAAGAGGATGGAATTACGGTTGCAGCCAACATTGTGGTCAATTACATTTATTCAAATTCTACACAAATTACCGAGATGTCCATTTATTAAATGTTAAATGCACGTGCTCCTGTATTTTTACTTTTCTGGCACAGCTTTCTCTTAAAATTTGTCTCGCGCTACATTGCACGGGGAAATACAATTTTGACTATAATTCTTCTAAAATTAACTATCTAAATACAAATATTAAATAACAATACTTAAGAAATAAATTTTTGTAATATATTAGTTTGTAATAAATTTTTGTAATTTTTTTTGTGTAAATATGTATATATAGTATATAATGACCAGTGAATATGTATATATATGGATACAGTGAAATTCCAGGACATTACGTCCTGGAATTTCACTGGAACGATCTAATTTCAAACAAATATTTAATAATTTAAATAATAAACTAAGGTAATGATTTTTACATTACACTAATCGATCGTTCCAGCCCAACAATTCCAAACTTGAGATGCAACAGGTTTCCCTTAGAAAGTTCTACACGAAGGGCATCCCTCACCATAGGCAAATAGCCCTCGAGTGATTTTCCCGTAATCTAATAAATCAAAAAGAAATGCGATGTTGCACAATAAATAGAAATGTTTTAAATAGTTTTGTTTTTTACTGCATCATACTGATTTTCAATAAAGCAAGGACAGTGAAAAAATGCCTGACTTTTTGTTTCCTTCAGATCTTCTCATCTACATTTTATTTTGAGCATGCTTTTCTGTTTTGCAATACATACTGCTGGTATTAATGTTAGCTCAAATATCGATTGCGTGATCTTTTACTTCCGTTTTTATTGAAGAAATCGATAATTGGGGGCGCAGAAGTCGTTTTGTAGCTAATTGTCATAAATATTATTTCAGCCTTAAAATTCCTCTTTTTCCTCTATCTGTTCAACGAAACCTGAGGAATTTGCCTCGGAGAACATCGAAAGATATCACGAAAGGATTAGTTTAACGATAATATCATAGGATATAAGATAGACGAGGCGGATAAATATAACGAACATAAAGCCCTCCATATCGAAATTGGTTACAAATGAAATAGTCTCATGCGTTGTATTAATCTTCACCAATAATAAATCCTAACTTTGCCATTACCGTATTACCTCCTGTGTAAGACATACCTTCATTTTGGGACGCAAAAAAGTGAAGGAAATAAAGAATTATTAGGTTGACGGACCTGCAGTATTCAATTTAACCCATTTTATCCCACTGTCCTATTTAAAGGACAGTTGAAATATAGCATGTAGTAATCAGTATTTGCTTGGTGAGAATATTTTGCGAGCTGGAATATGTAGGGATATGTATTAGCATCTGCTAGTGTGAGTTATGTGTCTCGTCTCTCCTCCTTCCTCTGGACATTTTGATTACTCATCGCATTAGTGGGCGTGGTTTCTATCATCTCTTTGTGGTTGCAGAATTCGTTTTCAGTTTACTTTGGACACTCGGCTGGGCATTTTGTATGTAAAAGTACTCTTTTCTTATCATCCTGGTGGTTAATGAAAGCTATATTGTTATTGGGTGAGTTTTAGCGCATTGTTTTTTAACTGTCCTCTAAATAGGACAATGGGACGATAAGTATGCAATTGAAGCGTTCGTTCTCTCTTTATAAATAAGAGTAAAAAAAAATTCTAGTGTTTCACCCCTGCTGAGTTATGTCAGTGCAAAGGTTTCTGAAGTTAGAGGAAGCATTAGAACTATTCAATAGTTTGGAGTCAGATGAGAGCGACGTTGAAATTGCTGCGTTACCACCAGATGCCAGTGAACTGACTGACGAAGATGAAGGGGATGAGAATGAAGTAAATACTAGTTAGATTATTGTAAACGATGTTCCTAGGTCTCTGGAGGTTACAACTGGAGATAGTTTCCAGTCTGAACCGTCCACAAGCTCTAGTGTTTCCACAACAAAGAGTAGAAAAAAGCTAAAAGACACCAGTCATCTTGGATAAATAATAAATCACCACAATATTCAAAATGGAAAACATAGGATGAATAAATTGCAAGTATCTTGCTCAAGCAGATGAAAACTGCATCGAAAGATAGAACTCCATCAGAGATTTTTGAGCAGTTTTATTTCAGTGAAGTCTACGATCTCATTGTAAAAGAAACTGTGCGATACGCAACAGATGTAAAAAACGAACACGATTTCTTGGCCACTGCTAACGAAATACGTGTTTTTATCGGAATTTTTGCTTCTAACTGGTTATCATTCAAATACCTGCGAACGTGACTACTGGCCAGATGCTGAAGACCTTGGTATTACCCTGGTGAAAAATGCCATGTCACGAAACCGCTTCAAAAAATTGAAATCTTATTTACATTTTGTGGACAATGGAACTGTCAATCAACATGCCCAGGATCGATCCTTCAAAGTAAAACTTTTGTTTGCCGTACTCAATAATAATTTTATGAAATTTGGACACTTCTCTGCAAATCTAAACATTAATGAAATGATCGTCATGTATTACGGTAGGAATATTCTGAAACAGTTTATCCGAGGCAAGCCTATATGTTTTGGATATAAACTTTGGGCTGTCTGTGGGAGCAAGGGATATTGTTACACTTTTTCTGTCTATTGCGGTAACGAATCTGATGAAAAAAATGATACTCCTCTTGGTACTCGAGTTCTGATGAAACTAACAGAGAATACTGTGAATCCTTCAAGCTAGACTTTATATTTTTATAACTTTTTTTACTAGCATTGATCTTTTGAAAAGTCTTGTGAACAGGGTTTTCGAGCTACAGGAACCATACGAGAAAATCGGACAAACCACGAGTGTCCTTTAGAAGAATCGAAGTCTATGCAGAAGAAAGAAAGAGGCACGTCTGATTTTGCATTTGACGAGAAATCTGAGATTTTCCTGGTGCGATGGAATGATAATAGTGTTGTCAGTGGTGCTACAAATTTCAGCACTTTAGAACCATTCTTTGATGAGAAAAGGCGAGTGAGAGGACACAAAGATAAAGTTAACGTGAAGATGCCAACCCGAAAGTGCTCTCGAAAGGTTGGTAGTAGGAGAGGGAGACCCTAGGACCCGTACCCCTTAACGTGAAGATGCCAAACTTGATTAATTCTTACAACAAACATATGGACGGTGCGGATAACCACGATTGGTTGGCTGGACTTTATTCCATTAAAATTCGTGGAAAAAGGTGGTACTGGCCACTTTTGAAACGTTCGCTGGATATGGCTATGGTGAACCCCTGGATAATTCACAAAACTCTGAACAAAAATGAAGCTCTAAACTTGAAGGAGTTCCGAAGAGCTGAGAGTTAATTAAAAAAAAAATTGTGATAAGAACAAACCTAGACCTAGGATCTGGACTGTACCTTCTGATGCAAAAGAAGACATCCGTAAACATAGTGTTGGTCATTTTTTACTAAAGCGAGAAAAACAGCGTCGTTGTCAAAGAGAATGTTGCAAAGGAAAACCAAAAGCATACTGTGGCAAATGTGACAAAACACTTTGTCAGGCTTGCTTTGGACCTTTCCACCAAGATTAGTATGAAATTCATCTGAAAAGTGAACTATCTTGTAAATAAGAAAGTATTAGTCAAATGAAGTAAAATTTGTACACGGAAATTACATTTTATCATTGAAGAGAACGCTAAAAACATGTAAGTGCAAATTTTATCCCAGTGTCCTATTTAGAGGACGGGCCAGATTTCTTATATAAAATATAAAAAAATTCTAATCTTGTTATATTTAGTTTCTTCAGGTTCAATTTACCTTAGAAAATACCATTCTTTTCAAATTTGAACAAAATAAATAAATCGGGATAAAATGGATTAATAGGAGTAAAATATTACATGGAGTTATTAAAATGGACGTTTATTTAGTATACTACTCGTCGTCACTTCGGAACTCCCATCCATTAATAGCAGATCATCTGTGTATCCCCTAAACCTAACAATAGCCTGAGGTGCAGTTTAAACAGATTCATTGTATCAGTTCATCTTAACCCTTTGTTGCATACAAATAATATAGACAAGTTAAACGAAAATGTTTGTATTATTTCTACTTAAAGTAACCTTAGTAATAAAAAAATATTTTTATTCAAATTACGTTTTAAATAATGGCTACAGTTTGTTCACTACAGTGGACAGCATGCATATACGTACATGCATACAAATCTCTTGCAAAACAATTTACGGTCATCGCATTTGAAATCATTTCCTGCCATGTTTGCAGTGATCATTACCATCTTCTAAATGGTAAATTGAGAAATGACATGTACATGCAGTTCCCCCAAACTACCTTCATTTCGTCGATTGGGATTGAATTCATTTTGCTACGATTTTGTAACCTGTACCTATTGGATTCAAATGTTCTAGAAATTCCTTGCCAAACATAAACATTTCCAGTGGTGTTTTCGCTCGATAAGCAGTATATTTGGGTTTGAATTCACTCTTTTCGATAGATCTTTATTTACCCACTCCACAGTTTTCTCAAACTGACATTTAAAATAAAATGTCTAAAATGACTAATTATGAATAAAAAATGGCAGTATAAGAAAATGTCAGCAATATTATATAATGTTTACTATGAGAAATTGGTACTAACTTGGAAACAGAAGTAGCCAGCCATTTTCCAAATAGCAATGCTGTACTTAGTGATGCTATACAGCCATCTAGGATCGACAGTTGAAAGTTATAATAATATAGAATGAATAAACACAGGAATGAAATCTGTTAAGGCATTTACAGAGGAATAAACAAATTTAAACTTTTGTCTACTAGAATGGACATGATGCAAGAAATGGCTAATTGCAGACAGTCTTTTCCTAAAAGGATTCAATTGCGATTCCTTATCACTTTACTAAAGAAGATATAGTACACACTCAGGGGGAAAGCAGCTTCTTTGTTAGGCTCTAGAAACGATATTATTTGAAACCTTCACAGCATTTTGTTCGTTAATGAACGGGAAGAAAGAAATTGTCGTGAATCTCAAACAGAATTTCAAACATTTCGTGTTTTCAAAGACCCAGGTGAGCGAAAGCCCCGCATGCGCATGCTCCGTATGCGTAGTGGATGATTTTTCACTTTTGGTTTGGCGTTTCCGTTGCTGCAGGCTCAACCTTTTCATAAGACGCACCCAGTTTTTAGACACGAAATGTTTAAAGAAAAATTCCGTCTTATACACCAGCATATACTGTTACCCACTATTAATATTTTACTATAATGTAAATGTTCCATTGATGAATGTAACTGAATAATAAAAAATAAATGATTTCTTCTTTTATTATAAACAATCCATTTATTTAATTTTTAAACTGAAAATGCTTTTGTGATAGTACATATATTTTTATTCTTACTTATTTGGCACAAAATTTAAAACGTTTCAGAATCCGTGCATTAAAGGATTGGGAGAAAGTTTTTATTGGTCGTGGAAACTTTTCGAGTATTTCATGCTGCATTTTATTATATTTAAGAATTAGTTTAGAATTTTCAGTTAATTGCTAACATTTTCTAATATTTATAAGTTATTACTTAATTTTTAAACAATATTTTTTAGGAGTGTCCTTTTTTACACTATTTGTATAGATATGTGCATGCATTTCCTATACATCCATGCGGGTCACAATAAATAAAAACTATACATATTTAAGTCTAAAAGCTAAAATTTTTGAAAGGCACTGACCTAATATATGATGTTTAGCTCGACAATACAGAGGATGTCCAGATATTCATAGAATGTTTTTCATAAAGAATTTTAAGAAAAAGTGTATGTTTTTCAATAAAAAATTCTGTCAAATGCTTACTGCTTGAAATGAGAAATATCGATTGCTATTTTCTAATTTATTCCTTTTTTCTTTTTAAAATGTCGCAAGTAAACGAGATGGTGGACTGAAGGATATGTCTTAGCGCTTATAGAACAGAAATGTTCCTATTCCATAATTTAAAACGTTCTGAAATGGATGGTATTAAAATTCCAAGTGTAAAATAAGCGGCATTATTAACAGGAAACAGGAAAACCGTCAATCATTACTTTCAATACATGGAAAGAAGACTCCAAATGAATACCCTAAAAATCTATGTCTAACGATTCCAAAGTTAAATTATTATTAACAAGGAAAAATTCACCGACAGAGAAATCAGTTGGAAAAGCTTTAAATGCATCTGTAGCAGCAACAAATTAAATAATAAATTCTTTAGGTGTTCTTGAAATTTTTTGGTCCATTTTCTGATTGTTTGACAGGCATTCATTAATTATAATTTTACCTTCTTTCTTAATTTAGTATTCTTATTATGCGTAACATGTGCATAAAGCATACCTTCGTGGTTTTAACGGTTAGCATACTCGATATGTATTCAAGAGGTCCAGGTTCGAGTCCTGAGAGGGCATCGTTCATGTTTCATGTCTCCTGCTATGAAAAACAAATTACAACTTTATTTACAAGGATTAAATATATTGTTGCGTTTTTCTGACACCAATTGTTGCGTTATTTTCTTCTTTCATGGAGTGACTAATGACGACCAGCACTCGATCAAGTATCGAAACGCACTTTATTGGCCGATATTAATCAGAAAAGCTCCAAAGTCACGTTTTAGAGTCGTCGAAGATCTACTGTAAACAAGCTGGAACCATGAGCGACACAGCCTTCACACTGTCAGGCAATAACGGTGGAGACAGCTTCACTGCAAAGCACCAGAATACAGCTCCCGACTCTGCTCGGTCGTTCTCAGAACTCCATGTACTGTCGAAACTCTTCACGCTACAACTCGCGATGCACTCGACGACACACATAGCACAGCTCCCTACTCTTCGGTTCAGTCGTTCCCGGAGCTTAACGCACTCTCTCAATGATGCACTAACCGCGATACACTAAGAGACTTTCGATGCACTCGACGACCCAGTCGGCATCCGCTGCCCGGCTGTCAACTCGATCGACTCCGCACGGACTGACTAATTCGAAACTAACTACCTCGAATTCTATGCGAGGCACACATTAACTGACTGCTGACCAGCAGGGTTATATAGCTTTCGGCTTGTGTTCGAAAGCATTCTGGGCTAAACCGTTAAGAATTCGTTGCAGAAGGTTCTCGATTCGCCCATGGCATATCGCCAATTTTGTCGCCGAATGGGCGATTTCTCACCAAATGTGGCAACCCTGCCTTCCTTGCTATTTTATGGTAACCCGAAAACTGCTTTGCGGGGAAGCCATCTTACCGCGCCTGTACATTTCGTAACAATATGAAAGGAAGCATAAAAGTTTTGACTATCATATATTTTGGTACTCTATATATCGTTAAAAATACGAATAATTTATCGATGATTTAGCTAGACAAACGCTTCTGTTAAAGACTCAAAAAAAGTACTTGTCAGTTCGTTATCAGCTTTCCCTCAAAAATAAAGCAGCACTTTGTGCTTCCCCTATTTTTGAGCAGCATTCTCTGGCTTCCATAAAAAAGGCATTTTTGGTTCCAGTGTTTTCGCTCTTACATTGCTTCCATTTCTTGAGCACACACATCATTTAATTCACTGGACATTTAATTCACTAACTTCGTTCACAGTTGCAGCAACCATTTTCAAGCACTCACAAAGAGAATGTCTATATCGGTGTCCTTCAAACTGCAAAGCATATTTCTCTTCCAAAAAGGTATTCTTTGTTTCATTTTCAAAGAATTGACTATTTTAAAAATCTGATTTCGTGTCAGATTATAGCTACCCTATAATCTAATTCGAAATTCTGTTATTTGATACGAATATGATATGCACATCTATTTTATATAATAATTATGAGTAATTTAAAAAGTCGAATACTTGCGCTGAAGCTGCCAAGTAATAAATCAATGTCATAAATCAATAATTTATTATTAGAAAAGTTTTTTTTATATGTTTTCTGGAAGGAACATAAATGTATGCAATGAATTGTTGCAATAAATTTAAGTAATTTAGTATTTTATGTATTAATAATTTAGATTTCTGTAGTAGTAAAAATACTTTTTTAAGATTTATGGAAATAGCAGAATTAAAATTTTACATTTAAAGGTGCAAGATTTTCTTTTTGATTTAACTTGTTAAGGAGACT